AACAAGTTCGGATCTTAATCATTACTCGTTAGTTTAAAATTGTTAAATAAAAATTTTTATAATACTTATTTTTATAATAATTTTAAAATAAATAAATTTACCAAATATTTATTTTTAGTGATTTTAATAAAATATCTAATTACTATACCAAATTGGTCCAATAGAGTATGGTAGAGTAAAAGCTGAATTTGTTCAGAATTTGCTTTTAGTGATGAACTTTGGCCTGTTTCTACATTTGTTGAGTAGCCAAACGATATATTATAAAATCGTAATAATAATAATAAGCAATGTAATAATTACTTGATTTAACATTACTTTAAAATAAGAAAGTTGGGCCTGCTGTAATGGGCATTTTTCTTTGTATTTTAGTAATGTTAATTTTCTAATTACTTAAAAGATTAATCATTCTATTTCTTCGCATTACTAAATAAGGATGGAAACTTTTCTGATTTACTAATCGAGCATCTCAACTTTGTAAAATTTCCTAACCAAGGATACTGTGGATGGAAAGTTGACGAGGCCATTTGACACCGTTAATGGATTCCATAATAAATGTTAACAAGGACTATATATAAAAAAGAATAGCTAACATGGACGCTAAAAAATAATGACGTGGACAAATATTCAAATAAAAAATAAAGCCATCTTTATTATTTGGAAAAAGTGCCTAATGATCTTACTTTCAAAGGATTGAAAGATAAATTATTTTAAAATTAAATTATTTTTTAATAAATTTTTATTAAAAATAAAATATATTATTTTTAATGTATAAATTATATTATTTTAGTTTATTCTTGTGATATTTTATTTTTTTATATTAATTTCTTGATATCTGATATCACATTAAGTGTCAATTAATCTTGAATTGAATCACATTAGAATTAAATTGCATCAAACCTCATAAAAAAAAATTTTCTTGATACTTATTTCTCCATTTGCAAAACTCTAACTCGAAATTTTATTTGAAAAGAACTAAATTCTTTCTACTCGATCGGACTAATAGGTCGTTAGTTTGTGATACTTTATTAATACAGCATAATTTTGTGTTGATTTTTGTTGTAATTTTTAAGAAATAAGATCAATAAGTACTAATTTTTTATTATTTAATTAAAAATATTTAAAATTAAATGAAAAAAAAAATCTGCAACTCATTCCTTCATTCGTATTCCTTCCTCTACAGTTTCCCCTTATTTAATTGGGAGGAAGAACAGAGGGAAAAGGGAAGAAAAAGATGAGGAAGAAGATTGAAGAATTTTGGGTTTAATTTTATTTATTTTTTTATTAATAATAAAGCTGTCTTTATTTTTTATTTGAATGTTTATCCACATCGTTATTCATTAGTCTCCATATCAGCCCTTCTTATTTGTATTTTGTCTATGTCAGCATTTATTATAAAGAAAAAGATTTAGGTAATATCTTTTTGTATTATTTTTTTTATAATTTTATATGTTACTTAAATAATTAATTTTTTTATTATAAATCCACTAACCATGTTCAATGCCCATGTCGGCATCCCATTTACTTTATCTTGGTTAGTAAATTTCACAAAGTTGAAATCGTTTTGTGTTATTTATTTATTTATTTATTATTATTATTATTTTTTTGTATATCAAAGAGTCTATTCAGTATTACAAAAGTTGAATCTTTGACTTAAATTTCAAATTTAGGTTTTTAAGGCCCCGTTTGGTATACCGGTTTTTGGGTAACGGTTAGCGATTAGCGGTTTTACTTAAACCGTTAAATATAGATATTTGGTAAATTTATATATTTCAAAATCATTGTAAATAAAGTATTTGGTAAAATTTTTATTTAGCGGTTTGAAACTAACGGATAGCGGTTAAAGTCCAAACCGCTAGCAGATTGAAAAAGTTAGTTTATGTAATTTTTTGTACCAAACCACTAACGGATTAAAATTTTTTAATTTTATTTACAAATTTATCCATTTTAATTTTTTAATTTGTGGTCACATTTTTTAATTAATAATTATCTAATAAATTTCAATTTTGTTTTTTTTA